TTTAATTCAGAAGCCAGTTCTACCTCACAGTATGTTGGTGCCTGTTCCCAGTCTTGATCAGTGAGAACTTTTTTATCTTCAACCTTGACCTTGAAGGACAATATTACTCAAATCTACTGTAAGATGAATGAACTCATGTRTAAGACAAGTTGCATACCCTTTTAATAACTGGTCCTTTCTTAGTTGTGTGAACTAGAATTTCATCAAACTTTGTTCTGTCCACTGGGCAAGTATTGGAATTCTGGAATACCAATTCACACAGACAATTAACAGATTAATCCTATTCACTCATCTTTACATCAATAAATCAACCAGCTACTTGGTGAGTTTATCCTTTCATTAAGCAACAAWTTGAAACCAGTCAAAAAAGGCTGATATAAATCAATCAATCTTATAATGAAAATCAATAATTACAAATCAATTAACAATCAATCAGTTATCATCAATCAGTAAAWCAATCWATCAATCACTTAACTAATCACTCAATCAATAAATCAGTGACAATTAATATTAATCAATCAATCAATCAACATGGAATTAATCAATCAGTCAATTACTTCATCAGTCAATCGATCAATTAGTCATCAATTCATCAATCATAAATCAATCAATCATCAATTTATCAATTAACCAACAACTGCACACACAATTACAGTATTACAGCCAAGAAATAAATAGAGGATATTGCATGGGTGCTCAGAGATACAGATTTTATCTTCGAGTGTTGAAAGAGATCTTCAACATGAGAAGATAAAATCCGTATCTCCAAGCGACCATGTATAATATTCTGTTTATCATATACATGTATAATTATATATATGAAAGCACAGTACCAATAATGTCGCAAAATACTTTGTTTACTTACAATAAAGTAGAGAAACCTTGAATGTGTTATTTACAACTTTTTGAATATATACTACTAGGTATTTCATATAATGTAAATAATTATATTATGACAAATACTTTTTATACTTGTAATTGTAACAAACCTTAGACCATTCAGAGATGCAGAGAAAACAGAAGACATGATCACAATTATTAGGTGTACCAAGCTGTTGACCAGTAAGAGTCATGAGACAAACAGGACACTGGCTTGAGTTAGGGTTATCATCATCATCATTTAATGATACATCAAGGTCATTATCCTCTGTCTGTTCATGTTGCTCATCACCATCATCATCATCATCGTCATCATCATCATTGCTTTCTTCGTCCTGGTCATCATCACTGTTGTCATTACTGTCAGTACATGATTCRTACACTGAAGCTATTATAAGAAATCCACCATTAGAAATATGAAAGGAGGCTGGTCAATGATTACTGTAGGAATTATCAGCCTTGTATTAGCGATGACTATTGAGCAGTTTTTGTTGATAGCATCACAACAACAAATTTTCAAACTATTGCAATAGTATTGTATGAGTACACAATCAATACTTCAGCAATAATAATAAAGAAATTTGTTCCTGCACTTGAACAGGACTAAATACATGGATTGCTYCTGCATRTAGCAATACTGCAGTTTAGTARTACCAGACAGTYGCATTTGAATGGTGACTTTGTTTGCATGTTCTGATGTACACCTTTTTACAAATTACCTGCTAGCAAATTTTATTTTGCTTAAAATCTTTTTGGAAAGAAACTACTGAAACTATCGATAGTTATAGTTARGTATTGCAATAGTTATCAATAGAAAAATTTTGCAATCGATGCATTAAATGCTACCACAATTTGACATCGCAATTATCCGATATTTCGATGTATCCTTAAACACCACTTCCTTGTGTACATATTATAAAACAGTATATGAGAAACACWCTCCAAATCACATCGCTCCATTAAGTAATTAATTCTTTTTTTTACCTTCATCACTGAGAGTCCCATCATCAGCTTCAACGTCAACATCCGAGTCTGCCATGATCTTGACTCTAATACATCTACTGGGAATAAAAGCTTACCTAATAAAATGAACAATAAATTTACTTTTCTAAGGGAGGCAATTTAAAAAATATAATATATAAATATAATATTATAATATTAGTTGTTTATAAGAAAAAAACAACAACAAGCAAGCAAAGAAAAACAAAACAAAACACAACAAAACAAAAAACATTGGTTATAGGTAGAACAGAAACTGGAAATTGCCAAACAGTGAATTGTGTGAAAATTTCTTAACTTCAAGTAATAAATGAATGTTGTAGAGTTGTTTGATCAAGAAAAGTACAAACAGCTTCATGTTTTTCCAAAAAAAAAAATGTAGAATAGTATAGAACAATACTGTTAATCTGATTGTTATAGGTAGAACAGAAACTGGAAATTGCCAAACAGTGAATTGTGTGAAAATTTCTTAACTTCAAGTAATAAATGAATGTTGTAGAGTTGTTTGATCAAGAAAAGTACAAACAGCTTCATGTTTTTCCAAAAAAAAAAATGTAGAATAGTATAGAACAATACTGTTAATCTGATTTGAAAATGTTGAAAGAGAGATTGTACAACTGAAAGGAGCAGTATAACTACCCATTCAAGGCCATGGTACTGCTGTAAAATCTTCACTTGCTGATGCTGATCATAAGCAGCCAGCTCTAATTATACTCTGCGAACAGAGCTATTTTTCTTCTCGGCGGGTGAGAAAAGTACAATATAGCTCTGTTCGCAGAGTACTCTAATATTATGGACTGTTTTACAAAATCATTTTTTTTTTCACCCATACAAACTCAGTATGCAAACTTTCACATACTGCAAGATGAAAAATCTACCAATACACCCATTTTTCATTGGTGTTCGCTTATGTAAGATTCACTTAGTGTTATGGCCTTATACATACATCCTTTTGACACCAATAAATGGTTAGAATACATATACTTTTGGTTCAGTAATTCCTTATTCTCTAGTTTAAAGATCCTATTTATGCATCATRAAATTTGAAAGTGTGTAATACATTCTTTTATTCAGAATTGAAGTGACATAATTTAGGCTGGAGTTTTGCCTGACAACCTTTTTTTGAAATACATGTAGTAGCAGCACAGACTCGTACCCAGTCGTTACTTACGTTCGAAGAGGTTGATTGGGCGTCTCTAAAAAAAACCGGAGAAGCGACTGGGTACGAGTCTGGTAGCAGCACAAGCTGATACATGTAAGCTTAATGAATTCTTCAAAAAATTCAAATTACTTTGTTCAGTATAAATGTAATTTATGTTATACTGTAGATTATTTAAAKAAATATCAAACAAACTACGCCATGTTGAATAAATAAACATGAGAATCTAATGATTAAGCTTAACTTATWTYCATTCAACATGTCGACGTACTACACCATTAAAGGTAGTGAGGCATGTAATTTAGTGAGTAGATTATTACAACGCTGTTCATAGTTTTACTCATAATAAAGTGTCAAGAGGAGAATTTCTTAAATTATTATTGGTTTCCAATCTCCACGCTGCATTTCATTCGAAAACTCTCAAACTTTGCTTTCAYCTTCACMAATAMAAATCTGACCCAAATATCAATGAAATTATAACATGTGTACTTACACAATCGTGTATAATCACCATCGACTACATTATGCCAWTAATAAGGAAACTATTTGATCAAAAAACACAGCGAAGACTCACTGAAGCTCATCACTGGTGGCCGCCATTATCGAAATGAATCATGGGTAAATAATTCGGAGCAAAAAMAATTATAACAAATTGATTCAAACCGAAGAAAAATTTACATATATTTATGTAATACTAAAATAATCAAAARAAGCAAACAGCTGGGATCAACATATTAAAAAGAAAAGCCGCAAACCGCCTGATGGGAAAGTAAGACAGTTAATAYACTCTAGAATACTTGGGATACCTGTGTCATTTAAATATTCGKACTTCTCTCGCCAAAGAATCGTTGATAGCTCGGATAAAAATCGTAAATCTCGGTAATTTTGTTTTTCAATTGTACAAATTCAAAGCTTTAAAAAAACTGTAAAGAGAGCAATTGTAAATTTTTGGATGAATTGAGACAACATTCAAATTTATTTGGTGTACAGTTCATTAATCAGTAAGGATATAAAAGTCGGAATTTGTTCGTTGAGTTGTCGGAGAAAAATCGGTTAAGTGCCGTCTTTTCCCTGCAGCCCTCACGAGCTAATCAAAATGGCCGACTGTCCTGGAGTAAGCTCAGATCAAGGGGAACTTTGTCCAGACAGGGTCGATTCTGCCATACTTTTGGACCAAAGGTAGGAGAAAYTCCAAATTATTTTCATGTTTTAAGCGTAAGTTGCTTTGCTAGTTTAGCTCATCTCAGTTTACTAGTACATCTGTTGATTTCAAAGGGAAGTTTCGCAGTGTGCTATCCACAAATTCTAAACACGTTTCATCCATTACAYTGTACCTGCTTTACTTTAGCTTACATGTACAGTATGTCTGCATATCGGYAATGTTGACTTTATCAACATACATTCAAAACAATGAGTTTTATGTTTTCATTTCACATCTGCATTTAATGTATTCAAATTCAGAGAAGTGAAATCAACTAGATGAAAAAAACATAAGCTTAAGTTAAGTTTTGTTTCGAACTTGGTCAACGACTTAAATAGGGTATCAACATTATCAGAAAAGATCTKSTTTAATTTTGAAGATTTGATAAGATTGTGCGATATGTCTTAAGCAATTCAATTCAAACAGCTGTTATCATGTCTCAGTAATTGATATATTTTGCTGCTAGGATATTATGTAGTCTTTTAGGAATCTTTATTTGTCTCCCCAGATACCCCTTGCACACTAGAAAATGTGCTTGAATAACTTCTGATTATTGCTTTTTAGTATACAATCTTGATGTATGAAAATTCCTTACAATTTTAATAAAATGATGCTTTRAGGTCGGTCATGACTAAATTAATTGGAAATTTACTTCTCTTTCATTAATATCTTGTTTTCATTGAATTCTTAACATGTAGAAATTCTATATATGATCTTAG